CCTTTTAATTATCAACCTTTTTTTTCCTTATCAAGAGTGGAAAAGTGGGGCTGGCTGAGTGGCGCGTTGGTGATGAGTTGGCTTGGAACATCAGCTCTGCGCAGCAGGGCCCTGGTTCAGATCCCACATGAGGGCCAGTGACGCTGCACCCTCTACAGCTAAGATGGTGAACAAAAGCTCAACCTGGAGCTGAGCTGCCGTGAGTTGCCGGCGACAGTGTAGGCTGCAGTCCCTGCTGCAGTGGGCTGCTGTGAGCTACCTTGAGAGGCTGGCAGCCAGCCTGAGCAGTGGGCAGCTGGTGTGAGCTGCCATGAGCCACCGTGAGCGGCCATCCAATGGCCGGCGAGCGACTGCCTCACCCGGGAAGAGCGCAATGATAATACCGACATGGGCCAGTGAAGCGACATCCTCCACAACTAGACTGAAGAACAAAAAAAAGACAGCAACTTGTCTGTTCTCCATCTCCCAATTCCCCAATTAAAAAAAAAAAAGAGTGAAAAAAAGTGTAACTTAAGTCAGAACTGACACAGAAATAAATGGAGCTGGCATTTACGAGGTTTCATATATGAGGCATGCCAGATGTAGACATGTCCACCATTTCCCTTAGAACTAAGTAACGTACCTGAGCAAAGCTTCGGCCAGAAGACAACCTTCGGGCTGGGGGCGGCTGGCCTTCCTCTGGTGGCTTCCCTGGCCCCGCTGCACTCACACAAGCTCTCCTCACCGAAGGGCCTGAAAAAGTGACCACCCCCAGCGGTTGTCTGTGATGGGCGGGCCTCAACAGAAGAGGGCTTTGCACAGGGTATGAAAGATACCCCAGCAAGGGCTGGACGAGAAGCATCTCAGACAGCACATTAATCAACCTTCTGGTATCTGACATGTCATTTCAAGGCTCGGCTCTAGGTCATCCAGCTCTGTGACCTTGGCCAAGATACTTAAGCTCTCTGAGCTTCGGTTTCCTAAGCTGCAAAATGGGAATAATGCTGCCTATGTTTGACAGTGGCTGTAAATATGAAATGAGATAAGGCCCTTAACATGCTTACCATAATGAAAGAGACATACTTAGCATTCAATAAATGGAAACTGCTAGTACTGTCTTTATGTAATACTAATAGGAATGATCACAGCCCTCAGCCAGGCAGCATCATTCTTCCGGTTCTTTCCTCTCTGTTCCTGAAAAGACAGCGCTTCTTTGACCAGCAAATTCTGAACACGGAAACAAACTAAACACCCGTTTTCCTGTCTGAAATCTGCCAGGAGTTACTGCCACTCAAAGCCCTCTTGCTCTCTTCTTAATATCCTCTTCCACTGATAATACAAGTTCCAGATCCAGCAGCCTATGCTGATTTGTTTTTAAAGGCTTGACTAAGAAATGTCAAATTTCTTGCAAATCGGTTTCCCAAATGTATTACTGATATTTGAAAATTCTTAGCACCTCACAATCACAACTAATGCTTATTATGTACTTGAGTTATACTAACAACCTCCAATAGATGAAGGAAAGACAACAACTTTACCTGAGGGGAATACCTTCTCTTCCTGTGACTGCTTTAGTCGCCTCCTCTCTCTTGCTGATAACGGTCGATCCTTTTAAAGAAAGTCAGGGTTATTTCCATTTCTACTCACTATTCTTATGACACCTACTATGCATGATGAATCATCCAGCACTAGAGGAAAAGGCCTTGCATAGACCTTTAAAGGAGTGTCCATTGGAAGCCAGTCTGCAACAGGGTTACAGCTACTGGCAAGGACTGATCACAGCCCTCATTTCCGGGAAGTATTCCACTCATTTTCAGAAGAGCAATTAGGGAATTCTGCATTTCCTCCATTCAGAATCTGCTTGGTCTCCTTAGTTAACCACAAGTGACCATCTCTGGAACTTAGAATCCGTCCATTTCAATCAATGCTTCTGCTGAGAACCACGAATCTATCCCTCCCAGAGTTGGGCAGAAAGCAGGGCTAAGATGTTTTAGTACAAAACTTTGCAACTTACGCAGGACTTTATAACCAAAAAAGCTCTATAAGAAGGTTTAAAAAAATCCAACATATCTCCCCACAAACCTTTGATGATGACATCTCGCTGCTCCCCAGGCTGCTCACGCACCCAGCGACCACTCTACTTTGGTTTGCAGTATTGTTTGGGGTTGGTGTGACATCCACTTTTCCAACAGCGGGAAGAGAAGGCAAAAGGAGAGGAGGAGCCCCTTGGAACTTAGATAATTAAAAAGGGGGGAGATGATCAGTTTCATATGATAGTAACCCACCTCCCAAGTTCTCCCATCAGTAAGTCTCCTGTGTATTTGACAGTGATTTGCTCTCAAAAACTTCAAAACATTGCATTTTAGGGGAAAGAAACTCTGCCAAAATTGAGTGGCCATCGAAGAAGTTTGTGAGAGGGTGCCTGTGAGAGCTACTTCAAGAAATGAGGTGTAGAAAATAAAAAGAAATAAAAAAAGAAATGAGGTGTAACATCTCAATTAAAGAAACAAAGAAATGAGGTATCAACATGATTTTATGCAGAAGATGGAGAAACTTTTCTTCCATATAACAAGAAGAATCAGAGATTTACCCTGTTAGCCTGTTTCTCTAACTCTTAAAATGATCCCATCTCTGCTGGGGAAGGTAAAATGCTTACTCTGCTGCCAACTCACTGACGTTTGAAAACTAATATTTAGAACCTTGCCATCGTCATCCTTCTCTACAAGTTCCTTGCATTTCTTGTGTGCCTTTTTGGCAACTGTTAATCATTCTAAATAGAAACAGAGATTCCTAAAGTCCATTTCCCAAGCAGCAACACAATGACTCGTTTCAAAGAGATCTCGGCCAACCTGTCTCTTTTCCCCACTGTGTTCAGTCTGTTCTCTTTTCTTCTGCCGTCGCTGTCGAGACACGGAAGGGTCAGACCCAGATATGTGTGGCTGCAAGCCTGGGTAGATTCTGTCCTCTTTCTCTATAATACATTTACCAGCAACTTCATCCTTACAAAAAACAAACAGAGAAAAAATAAAATAATGAGATAGCCTTTTGAATTTCTAAATGGTCAAACCCGCCAGACCTAGTTTTATGATTATAAATGAAAATGAGGAGAAGGTGTCTTTCTCAAAATAAATGCTTATTTGCAATATTGACAGGCAAAGATAAATGCTAACATCAGTTATACATATGTTCTGGCTTTTTTTTCCCAAATGAAGAAAAATGAATATTTAAATTAAATTACTTATATTGTTATTAACCTGGAACTACTGATACCTGATTTTTTTTTNCATTATACATGCACTTTTCCATAAAAACAAAACTTCATTAAAAACATTCAAATATAAACATGTAAAATAGTTTTACTATGTTTATATAAAGTATGTTAAATAAAAAATGTAATACATCAAATTCAAATATATATATAAGCATAGATTATAAAAATATAATCAATATGCCTATTAAATATATATTTTAAATATTTTACACATAAAAATGTCAAGTTAATCAAATGTTCTGCCTTTCTCGCTAATCCTGTTATTACCATGCTGCATCTAATTGAAGCTTCTTTCCAAGTTCAAGTAGAACATAGCCATTAAATTTACTCAGAATAGTCTCTCAGTATCAAACTTCTTTGGCTCCTTTCTTTTTCTTTGCTTCTTCCTTCCTGTTTCGTTCCAACACATAAAATATTTTTTTATTCCTGAACTTAAAAAATCAAGATCAATCCACTAACTTTTCAAAGGCAAGAGGGAATGTGATAGTATCTAACTGTTGGAACTATCCATCAATTGGAGGACTCAGGAAGAGTGATACAGAAATAGGAAACAACATAAAAATGGTATGCTTCCACCAAGTACCGTACACCAGGGCAAGAAGGGATCTAATCCCTCGGGTCTCATCCTCTGGTTTCTATTATGTTTAAACTGGTACACAGAACGGCTGATTTTCCTAAAACAACAACTACAGCACAACCAAACAACACACCTTTCTAACCGCACTTTCCAGTCTTCTCTCTGAAACCAGTACCTCACGCATATCACTCACCTGGTCCTTTGGCTTTTGGTCTTTGTTCAGGGGCTGCCGAGTCTTCACTGGGTCATTTCTTTCCCCAGGGACATCGTCAGAGGACCAGGTAGGAATTAGGTTTCCAGGTTGAGGGCTGGACTTAGTGTTATCCTGCAGCCTCTCTTTCACTTGAGAAACACTGCATTTACCTTCTAGCTCATTAGAGGCAGCTAAGTGTCTTGGCTCATTTACTTGTACTAAGCCATCACTTAAGTCCCTTTCTGCAAGTAAGATGTCAACATTCACTCTACTGACTGTGGCTAGTGATTCTGTGGTACTGCTCACGTCTGGTTTACAGGGATGGCCTTTCAGGCCTGCAGGTGTCTTCAAGGGGCCAATGCCCATGTGTTTCTCCTGAGATAAACCTTTGTCTTCACCCTGAGTGAAAACATGCTTCCAAGTTATTAAAGCACGCCTCACACCATATAAAAATTGTAACTCAAAAGGGAACAAAATTTTAACTTAGAAAGTTAAAACACAGAATTACCATATGACCCAGAAATCCCACTCCTACCCCAAATAACTGAAATTTGGGACTTAAACAGGTACTTGTGCACCAATGTTTATAGCAGCATTATTCACAATGGCCAAAAAGTGGAAACAACCCAAATGTCTATTAGCAGATAAATGGATCAAACAAAATGTGGTATACGTAATGGAACATTATAAAGCCATAGAAAGGAATGAAGTTCTCACACATGCTACAAGTATTATACAGTTGCACTTATATAAGTGCCTAGAACAGGCAAATTCATAGAGACAGAAAGTAGATCAGAGGTTACCAAGGCTTGGGAGTAGGAAAAATGGAGAGTTGTTGCTTAACGGGTACAGAGTTTTTGTTTGGAATGATGAAAGGGTTTTGGAAGATCGTGCTGATGGTTGCACAACACTGTGAATATAATTAAGGCCACTAAATTGTGTACTTAAAAATAGTTCAAGGGCCGGCTAAGTGGCTCAGTTGGTTAAGAGCTTGCTTAAGAGTGAGAGCCTTGAGGAACAGGGTCGCCAGTTTGATTCCCACATGAGCCAGTGATGCTGTGCCCAAGCTGAGCTGCCTCTGAGATGCCAACAGATGGCAGGATGGCTCAGCTAGTGAGAGCACATGCTCCTAACAAGGTTTCCTGTTCGACTTCCGCATGGGATGGTGGCTACGCCTACTTGCAACTAAAAAAATTGAACACAGCACCTTGAGCTGAGTGGCCGCGAGCTACCAACGGGCGGTCGGATGGTGACTGGACTTGGAGCTGAGCTAGCTGTGCCCTCGACAACTAAGATTGAAGGACAACAACTTGGCTGTTCCCCTCTGCCAATTTCCCAATTAATTAAAAAAAAAGTGGTTCAAAATGGCAAATTTTATGTTATATATATTTTACCATAATAAAATAACTTATGGGCCGGCAGAGTGGCGTGATGGTTAAGAACTAGCTTGGGATGCCAGAAGGCCCTGGTTCGGATCCCACATATGAGGGCCAGTGACACTGCCCTCCATAGCTAAGATGCTGAACGACAGCTCGACCTGGAGCTGGACTGCCATGAGTCGCCAGTGATGGCGTCGGCTGCAGCCCCTGTGGCAGTGGGTTGCCATGGGCTATCGTGTGTAGCCAGCAGCCAGCGTGAGCGGCCAGCAGCCACAGTGAGCAGCCATCCAGAAGCCGGTGACTGATCTGCCTCGCCCGGGAAGAGCGCAATGATGGTGCCAACTTGGGCCAGTGAAGCAACGTCCTCCACAACTNGGGCAGTGTCACTGGCCCTCATATGTGGGATCCGAACCGGGGCCCTCTGGCGTCCCAAGCCAGCTCTTAACCATCGCGCCACTTGGCCTGTCCTCTTCATAACTTTTAATAGGTTTTCTATTCCAGAAATATAAGAAATGTTTTAAATGAAATCCAATTTAATATATGCATACTTACCAAGTAAACATCAGTAATTTGGGTGCATTATGAAAAATTATATTTAAAGCAACACGAGGGGCCGGCCAAGGGGAGCGTTGATTAAGAGCTGACTTGGGATGCCAGTCTGAGCAGCAGGGCCCTGGTTTGGATCCTACATGAGGGACAGTGACACTGCCCTCCACAGCTAGGATGGGAACAACAGCTTGATCTAGAGCTGGGCTGCCCTGAGTCGCCAGCTACGGCGTAGGCTACAGCCCTGCTGCAGTGGACTGCCATAAGCTACGGTGAGTGGTCAGCAGCTGGCGTGAGCGGCCAAGAGCTGCCATGAGCTGCCAATAGCCACCATAAGCAGCCATCCAGAGGCCAGCGACCGATCTGCACTGATCACAATAACAACATGGGCCAGTCAAGCGACGCCCTCCACAACTAGACTGAAGAACAAAAGGACAGCAATTGTTTGTTCCCCTCCCCCAATTGCCCAATTTAAAAAAAAAATCTTAAAAAAAAAAAAGCAACATGAAAAGAGCATTGAGTGTGGAGTTAGATGGAGTCATACCTGAAAAGCTTAATCTTCCTGAAGCTCTTTTTCTTCATCCATAAATAGGTATAAGGTCTCACACATTTGTACTATTGGAGGATTAGTGAAGATGGTGCACTAAAGAACTTAGGAGTATGTCTAGCACATATTAGATGCTTAAAAAAATCAGAGCTATTACTAGCAGTAGTAATAATAAAATAAATTACCTATTACGTTATAAAGATCACCAAGGATGTAGTATTTTATTGGGATAGCTGGTTTTAGAAACTAATTCATACCAAACATTAAAATAAAATCAATTCTTAAGTTTTTAAAACAATTTTTAACTATTAGAATATCTAGGTTTTCAAGCGGTGGATACTGGTAATTGAATATGATTCAATCAACAATTTTTAACAAGAGCCCACTATGTGGTACATTTTAGAAAGAAAAATAAACAATGTGATGCTAATACAAGGTGAAATTGCTTCTAACAGCCATTATCATTGAGACACTATCATCTATTATTTAGATCCTCTGGCAAACACAAAACAATGACTCCCATAGGTAAAAAATTTGTTAAACTTTTTCTTTCAAGAGTACACCTGACATTACATACAAAATATAGCAAATGGTTAAATTTTACAATATTATCACATAATAAACAAGCTGAACAAGAAGACCAAAATAATAAACAATGATGAATAGAATTCTGAAGAGTGAAGTAAATGTTTCTCTGCTGGTAGTAAGCATAGGTTGTTTAAAATAAAGCATACACAAGTATAAGAGAGACAGAATAAATGACTTAGGGGATTTCTCTATGAAATCCAATTGATCCTGAAATAAAGTTTTTCCACGTTTAAAAACAATGACAACATAAAAAGAGGAAATGCTAGACATAAAAATCTATCAAACAAAAAATCGGCTCTAAAAGTCTGACATAAGGGCCCGCCGAGTGGCGCGTTGGTTAAGAGCTGGCTTGGAATGCCAGAGGGCCCTGGTTCGGATCCCACATATGAGGGCCAGTGACACTGCCCTCTGCAGATAAGATGGTGAATGGCAAGTCGACCTGGGGCTGGGCTGCCGAGGATCACCGGCGATGGCGTAGGCTGCAGCCCCTGCTGCAGTGGGTTGCCATAAGCTACCGTGTGTAGCTGGCAGCCAGTGTGAGTGGCCAGCAGCCGCTGTGAGCGGCCGTCCAGAGGCTGGCGACTGATCTGCCTCGCCCGGGAAGAGCACAATGATGGTGCCAGCTTGGGCCAGTGAAGCAACATCCTCCATAACTAGACTGAAGAAAGAAAAAAAACAACAGCAACTTGTCTGTTCCTCTTCCCCCGATTCCCCAGCGCTGTTCCCCTTCCCCAATTCCCCAATAAAATCTTCTAAAAAAAAGAAAAAATTGTCTGACATAAGACATGAATTTGATCAGTAACAAGACAAGGATGTTCACTCTCAGCACTTCTATTCAACATTGTACTAGAGGTTCTAGCCAGGGTAATTAGGCAAGACAAAGAAATAAAGGCAATCCAGATTGGAAAGGAAGAAGTAAAACTACCTCTATTCACAGATGACATGATCTTATATTCAGAAAATCCTAAGGAGTCTACTAAAAAAAAAATTCTTGTAACCCATAAATGAGTTCAGCAAGGCTATAGGATACAAGATCAGTACATAAAAATCAACCATATTGCTATACACAAGCAATGAAAATGAAATTAAGAACACAATTCCATTACAATAGTATCAAAAGGAATAAAATACTTAGAAATAAATTTCACAAAAGAAGTGCAAGGCTTGTACACTAAACACAATGAAATATTATACAAAATTAAAGAAGACATAAATAAATTGAAAGACATCCCATGTTCATGGGTTAGAAGATGAATATTAAGATAGCAATATTTTGCACATGATCCACATATTTAATGCAATCCTTATCAAATCCCAGTCTTTTAAAAAAAATTGACAGCTGATCTTAAAATTCATATGGAAATTTGAAGGACCCCAAATGGCCAAAACATTGAAAAATAAGAATAAAGATGGAAGACAAACTTCCCCATTTAAAACTTACTACAAAGCGCAATATTTAAGACAGTGTCTTACTGACATAAGGATAGACATATAAATCAATGGGAAAGACTTGAGAGTCTAGAAATAAACCATTACATTTATGGTCTACTGATTTTTAACCAAGAGTGAAAAGACAGTTCAATGGCAGAAGGAATAATCTTTTAACAAACAGTCCTGAGATACCTGAATATTCACATACAAAAGAATGAAGTCAGACCCCTTCTTCAACCGTACACAAAAATTAACTCAAAATGAATCATAGACCTAAATATCAGAACTAAAACTATAAACTCTTAGAACACAACATAGGAATAAATCTTCATGACACCAAAAGCACAAGCAACAACAAAAAAATAGGATTTCTTCAATTTAAAAAGTTTTCCGCTTGAAATGACACCATCAAGAAAGTAAAAAGACAACCCACAGAATGAGAGACAATATTTTCAAATCTCTCATCTGATAAGAGACTGACATGTAGAATAAAGAACTCCTACAACTCAACAATAAAAAGATAAACCAATAACAAATGGGCAAAGGATCTGAATAGATATTTCTCCAAAGTAAGTACACCAATGCCCATCAAGCACATGAAAAGATGCTCAGCATCATTAGCCAGTCATTAGGGAGATGCAAATCAAAATCACAATAAGACCCACTTCACATCTACCAGGATAGCTAGCATTTAAAAACAAAACAAAACAAAAAAACCCAGAAAATAAGAAGTACTGGTGAATTTGTGGAGAAATTGCAACTCTCCTCTATTGCTGGTGAGAAGTAAAACAATGTAGTTGCTTTGGAAAACAACTCTAAAAGTTAAACACAGTTTCCATATGACCCAGCAATTTCACTCCCAGGTATATACCTAAGAGACTGAAAACATGTCCACACAAAAATCTGTA